ATAGTCTGTGCCCAAAAAATAAGGTGACGTTGTATTTATTTTGAAAATTATTATTCTTCCAAATCAATTTCATCCCCTACAAAGTAATCCCCACTAGATGTAGTACATTATGCCAACGGATTTTCCAATCGTCGAAACACTGGTTATAGTCACTTCCCGGGATGGCCTTCAGTTCCGTCTTCGCTGCGGCTTGAATATCTTATAAAAACGGTGTGCCCGGAGCGGTCTTTTAAGCGTGGTGAACAGCCAGAAGTCGCACGGTGCCAGATCAGGGGAATACGGTGGTTGCGGAAAGATATAGGTTAAGTTTTTGGCGAAATGATMATTTAATGCAAATTCTTTGCTCAACAAATTTCGACATCGCAAAAAACGAAAAACTCACTTTTAACAGCTCACAAAACGACACGTATCTCAAACACTAATGAGTATTTTTACATGAAATTTGACAAAAATGTGACTGACAGTACTACCAACCGAAAAAAAAATACTTAATTCTCCAAATCCTTCGACGCGCGCAGTTTAAATTCAAACTTCACCTTATTTTTTGGGCACAGAACAGAGCAAGAAGATAGTCGCTGCCAGATTTTAAATGTAAGTTAAGAATTTTATTTATTTTATTGTTACGAATTTAACCCTTTACACTCGAGAGGTGACTCTCACTCACCATGGGGTGTGCTGCCGCAACTCGAGATGTGACTATCGCTCACCACTTCATTTGCTGCGGTAACTCGATACGCAGATTTAACTGTTTTTCTTACCCTCTTTCTATATACTCCATTGTAAACGGAGATAAGATATTCTTATCTGGGATTAGTCCGCAACCACGAACTTGACTGCATTTTCGGCATCAGTTCAAATCTGACAGTCCTTTCAGGGATATTACTGAATTTAAAGTTTTTGATCCCTAAAAACATGGAATGTAATACCGAAAGGAGTTTGATTTTACGATGCTTAACCAGGAAATTACGGCTATACACAGAGAGCTTCAAGATACAGAGAATAACAGCGATATTGACGAAGTGAGAGGCGTCAGAAGGCGAAAGATTCGAGTAATAGACAGTGAATGTGACAGTGATATTTATACTACAGAAAACTCACAGTCGGATCGTTCCAAATGGATTACTTGCACGAAGTGAAATGTGTTAGAAACCGAAAGATCACGGTCGGACAGTTCCGAATGGATTACTTGCACTGAATCTGAAGGAACACCGTCCAGAATATCATTCTGCACGCACCATCAGATAAAGAAAAACCATTGGATTTTTTCAAAGTCCTTATTACTGATGAAGTGGTCAATGAAATTGTTATCGGAATTAATAATTATGACGCAAAAAATTAGATGGAAAGAGATTATCTCCTTACTCGATAAGGAGGAATGTAACCATTGAAAAAATATTGGTTTTATAACTCAATAAAGATTTTGTCAAACCTTACCACTGGTGGGGGGAAGTGAAAAGTCTTTTCTTGAGTGAGAAATCTTTCATTCGATTCAGCAGCATCTTCTAAAATGTAGTCGATTGCTTTAGCTTCATTTTTATCTTTAAACGATTTAACTGGACTTAACTTTTCCATATTTCTCCAAAATGTAAGCATGCCGGAAGAGATAAATGCGAAGGTACCAATTTAGTTGGTTTTTCCTGAGTTATTAAAGATTCATGAAATTCTTTTTCAACTTCTTTTTCTGTTTTGCCTTCTTCTATTACTTCTGCTGTTTCTTCCTCAGCAAAAGATAGCTATACAGTAGGTAGAAAAAGTAAGTTATTAAAGTGAGTTTTTCTTGAGATCATATTTTAAAGTGATTAAACTAATTTGAAAACAAAAAAGAAGTTCGTTGCTTTTATAAATACACACATACAGTAAATTTCATTTAGAAAAAATTAGTTATCAAATTGTTTAATATGTTAAATATTTAATGTTGTTGCATGGAGTTGGCAAGCTTCAAACACTAATTTTGAGGAAAAACATTCCAAATGTTATAGATGCAGTTCTTCAAATCATCCTGGTTTTAGGGTTTCGCTGCAACTATGGACATCTTAAGGGTTGCCCAAGCATTTTCAATTGGTGAACAGTCAGGGCTTTGATTAGACCATTTCAATACACTCAAATTTTAATTTTTTAGATGTTCTGTGATGACTTTTGCATACTTAATTGTGGGTAGAGTGCAGTTGTGTAGAAGTTCTTCTTCTGGTGAGCGCCAAACGTAAACCATACCGTGGGAATAACGAAAACATACCGTCGATTCATCAGTGCAGAGCACTTTATGCCAAACATTTTGATATTTTAATATGTGCTCTTTATAAAATGCTTATCGTTTTTTTATTTGTCTCATTTAGGAAGTGTAACTTTCTTGCAACGCGGCTGTGAATATTGGTTAGGTGCAATCTGTTACGGATAGTGTGCTCAGTGGACGCATTATTACTTAAAAAGAGTTTATAAAAATAAACTCTGCGCGAATTGTTTAAGCTGATTTGAAGGGATTAGAGTAGGAAATATCCAAAATTCGTTTATCAACTCTCCCGTTGTTATTTTTGAGTGACTTTGTCTTTTCTTCCTGATCACTCGATTTTCTTTGTTGTAGCCGGCAATAACTTTCCGTACTGGGGCCTGGTAACCATCGTGTGACCATCTTTATACAAATTAATTATATTTGAGCACTCCTCATTCCTTAATTGCTAAAAATTCACCATTTTCAGAATTTTTATTTATTTCACCTTAAAAAAACGAAAACTTTAGTTACCAATTAAATTTCAAAATTTATAAAATAAAAAATTCTTGCACCTTAATTACTTTTTTCTAATTTATTTTTAAGATTTAATATGATTGCGCTCGAACGAATAGCGATGAAAAGCGAAATACAACAAAAAGCCGAATTCGTGTTGTTTTGTTCACGTTATAAAAGCGAATGTAATTTATTTAAGCAATTGTTACATCTAATGTATGACAGGATTGCAGAGTGCGAAAATTTACAAAAAGTAGTAGGTGATGCCACTTAATTATAAGGTGGCGCTCTGAGCGCTCTGAATATACTCCCCCCGATGGCGAGTCATACCGCCAGCTAAATGATCATAGATGGGAAGAGCGCACAATTTAGAAATATCTCGTTTGCAAATACCATTGGGTGTTTTAACTTCAGCTACACGAACTTTAGAATCGTTCCCCAGGATGACCTTAGTGACTCTACCAAGCAGCCATTTGGGTGGTGGCAATGCTTCATCCTTGATAAGGACAAGAGTTCCAAATGGGATATTGTTCCTTGGATATCGCCATCATGAGCGTTGTTGGAGGTGGAATAAACTTCCAGTCAATTCCTTCAACAAGACAATGCCGATAAACTGCTTCGCCATGTTGCTGCTTGAGAAATTGTTGCTGTAATTCTGAAATTTCATTTTTTGCTCCAACAAAGTTTGTTGACCAAATAACCTTTGGTTTTCCACGGGTACATTAAAAACGCTACTAGAAAGGATTCCGTTGATAGATCCTTTACGACTCTCATATGAACAGCTTTCGTAGTAAAACATATGAAGAGACTTATGTAACATTTCGTTGATGGTCCGCAATAGTCGATTCAGGTGATTCTTATCACCGACTTTGACGGACGCGATCTTCTGGTAAGTTTCCCATAATCTGTTCGCAAATCGCACGCACTTGCTTACTATGTGACTCACCTCCTTTTTGCCTCCAAGGGGCCAGTATTGTTGTCGTATTGCAGCAAGTAATGCTTGAGTTCCGACATGTAGATGCTGATGGTGAAGATGCGTTATAATAGATTCTGTTAGGGGATGTCTCTTGGGTAGAATGATTGGATGTCGTAAATGGTAATCCAATAATGCATTTTCTAAATGAACACCTCGAATAAGTCCAAATGAGTCTAAAAATGGTGACAAGAACGTTAATTTACTCGAAATACTTATTCAGCCCTATCACGCAATCTATCGTAGCGAAGCTACGAATACGAATGTCCGCTACGAATACGCATAATTTGCTATCACTGAATTCATGTGAATTTGAAACTTTTGTTGCCAGACTTTATTTTGAATTTTGACATTTAGAAGAAAAAATTAAAACTTTGATTAATAAAAGTGAAATCGTTTATATTCAAATTGATTTTACGAAAAAAATATGTATTCGCTAACGTTTTTATTTATGTTGCTTGAGGAAGAACGTGAGAGAAGTCGGCGTGATATAAAAATTCACCGAAAATCGCTGAGGGACAAGAGCAACCCTCAAGCAAGAGCCCTCAGTGGATAAACCTCGAGTTAAGTAACGTTGAAAAAAGTGAAGCGAATAAGGATTTTTTTCAGAAAAACGGATTTCCAGGCGCGATTTTATGTGTAGACGGGACACATATTAAAATCGTTGCTCTAACTAAAGATAAGTTTCTCTATTATAGCCGCAAAGGATACTTTAGTATCAATGCCATGATTGTAAGTTTGGTGACAAATTCGCATTTCAAACATCTTAATCAATGTTTTGCAGATATGTGACAATAAAATGAAAATACGTTATGTGAATGCTCAGTTTTCTGGCAGCAATCACGACTCCCACATATGGAATGTCAGCAATGCTCGTTATTTTCATGAGAAAAAGTACCTCGATGGTGAACGAAACACTTGGCTTTTGGGTATTATACATACAAACATATATATTACAAAAATTCCCAAAATTTAATATTTGTATAGGAGATGCCTTAGAACCATGGTTAATGACACCATTCCGTACCCCTCCCTCATGCAAAAGCGAGAAATATCGTTGAAAGAACCATAGGAGTTTTTAAAAATCGATTTAGATGTCTTCTGGGTGCTCGTGAGCTTCACTACGAGCCATGGAAGGCATCTCAAATCGTTAATGTTGCGGCAGCGTTACACAATGTTTGTATTCACTATCGCGTGAATGATGAAAGTATAGAAAATAATTCGGAACCAGAACCAAATATTTTTACAGAAAGTAATGAAATTGTTTCATCAACTTATAATGATGCAGCTTCACAATATGTGCAACACTTACACGAGTATAATATCCTAAATAAATATTAACACAAAATATTTATAGTTTTAATTCAGTATTTATTTAATTCATTTAATTATTTTTTGTGATGGCTTGCAATTTTTGTTCTTCTACCTCTAACATTTGCTGTTTAATTGAATTTTTAGCAGCTACCAAATTTTCCATAGCTATGTTGTGTCTTTTAAATTCTTCAACTTCCGCTTTTTTTAAACCATTTTGCATTTCCAATGCTCTGCCTACTCGTCGCATACGTAATGAAAGGTCGTCCAAATTGTCGAGAACCTTTTCCTGGAATTCTTTTTGAATATCAAGTTGTTCTTTTAATAAATCGGCTGTACTTTTTTCCGGTGGCCTAGTAGTACGTCTAGGCAGTGCTGGACTGCAGGTCACTGATGGCATCGATACGTCTGCCTCTGTCTCATTGCTCACGTCTGCTACAATAGGTAAGCCGATGCTTACTGTATTCGCAATACCACTTGTACTGGTTTCCAATGCCGTTAGTGCTATCACCGCTTCTTCCAATTCATTGAAATGGTGCTGCCTATTTCTGCCGCCACCAGTAGCTGACTGCTCCTTTAGCCTCCTTAGCCTTCCAAGTCAAGCCATACCTAATAAAAAATAAGTCAAACAAGCTTTAAATTATCCTGTTACAACAATAAAATCCACAAATTTATTATATTACCTTCTTTCAGCTGGAAATATCCTTGATAGGCGGACCAACACTGTTGAGCTCTTGGGCCATGTTGTTCCAAAAAGCTGCCACTTCTTCTTTTGGGCACTTGGTAAAACCCTGCGCCATTTCTGGTTTTTGCTGTAACAGCTCAATCATTAGTGCATATTGTTGCTTTGTGGTGATTCCTTTGGACCTGCGGAAATGGGATTAAATATACTTTTAATGATAAAAACTATGTTATAGTTTGAATTAAATATTATTTTAATGATAAAAACTATGTTATAGTTTGAATTGAAATAAAACTTACATTTTTCTTTTTTTAAATTTTTTTTCTCCGTTAGCACAAACCTGTCGTACAAAAATTCCGCTACGCTTACAAATTTTCCGTTCCGAGTGAATTCAGTGAATGCAACTCTACGAATKTCGAACTTACTTTCCGAACTGTTCGAATTGCATGATAGCAGATTCGTAACTTTCCCGAAAAAACAGTCTACGATGGATTGCATGATAGGGCTGATTGGCACCGACCTTTTAAGATCCTTGTATTCAAATGAAAAATTCACTCTTTGCACCATACGAAGTAAATACCAGGTTCCTTGTTGATGAACATGTGTACACAACCATATATGCGTAGCATTACTGAAAAGGAGTTTATATATTTACAATGCATATTACAGCAATGTAAAGTGAAGAGTTTGATGGGATGTCTGCAGGGTTGAGATGTGTTGGTACATACCCGCACTCCATGCCATTAATTAAATGCTGTACAGTACCCCGCCAACCCATTAGAAACAGGGACAATCCTTCATATAGTTTTGCGTCAAATAAAGTTATTAGGATATGTGAATACAATTTTTTTTATAATATTTATTTGAATTATCATATTTTCATAAAATTAAGAAAAACTTAATTTTTTTTAGTATTTGGTTAACAAACCAGTCCATTATGGACGCCTATCACTAAAAGCGACCACCAGCAAACAAATCTGCCCCTGGTGGTCCAGTAAACTCTCAGCTCTTAGACTTAGGTAGGTTATTCAACAAGGAGGACTACAAACGGGACCGAACAATCTATAACAAGGAGATTAGGCTTGCCAAGACAAGCAGTTTCAGGAAATTCTGTGATAGCATCTCCTCGACCCCGGAGGCAGCTAGGCTGCACAAGGAGTTATCGAAGGGTAAGATGGACACAATATTATCCCTAAAAAGAAAGGATGGGACCTATACGACAAGCGCGGAGGCGATGGCGGAAACACTCCTACAAACGCACTTCCCGGAGTCGGCTCAAGCTGACCTAACCCCAGGCTCGGTCATACGGAAGCCGGATCACTCAGACTGGCTGACTGCAAGGAACCTGTTCCCTGCGGACTCAGTCAAGTGGGCACTGGCCTCCTTTTCAAGCTTTAAGTCACCGGGAGTGGATGGCGTCTTCCCGGCCCTCTTGCAACAAGGTATGGACATTCTCCTACCACACCTGCTAAGGCTGATGAGAGATAGCCTGGTGATGTCGTATATTCCTGAGCCATGGAGAATTACAAGAGTAATTTTCTTACAAACATTGCTCTATACCAACTCACGTATGACCTACAGGATTCGCTGGATAATGGCAAGGGTGCCTTCCTAGACATTGAGGGTGCCTTTGATAACGCGTCTCACTCTAGCGTGATCAAGGCACTCGAGAGAAGGAACGTAACCACCCCGATACGCAGATGGATAGAAGCCCTTCTGCGCACTAGGGTAGCAGAAACAACAACAGGAGAAAGTAAGATTCGTCTTGGCACCACAAGGCGCTGCCCACAGAGTGCTGCTTTGGAGCCTGAGAGTAGACGAACTACTCGAGCTGCTCACCAGCAATGGAATCCGCTGTCAAGGGTATGCGGTAGATTTGAGAACACTCTCTGTGACATTGTACAAAGGGGCTTAAACTTGGCGAAAGGATGGTGCAACACGGTAGGGCTAAATATCAACTCAGCAAAAACCACCGTGATCCCATTCACTAAGGGGAGATCTCTTCCGGGCCTGAGGTCCCTAACAATTGAAGGCACAGACGTGTAACTGTCTATGGAGGTCAATTTCCTTGGTCTCACCTTAGACTCATCATTAGGGTGGAGTAGGCATTTGGACTTAACGCTGTCCAAAGCAATTATGATTTGCAGAGGCCTGGCCGGCAGATCATGGAGATGCAAGCCAAGTATCATCAGATGGTTGTATACCATGATAGTAAGGACTATCGTCAACTATGGAGCGGTTGCCTGGGCCACCAAAGCAGCGCAGTCTTCGGTGATTCGGAGGCTGTCAAAGTTGCGAAGACTTGCATGTGTGCATGTGTGCACGTGCCCCACGGTGGCACTGGTCATACTAGAGCTCACACCGCTGCATCAGGTGATCAAGCTAGCAGCAAAACACACCATGCTGCTAATGTCAGCAGAAGGCTGTGGAAGAGGGAAGGTAATGTCGTCTAGACCGATGGACGCACTAGCGGAAAGTACACCGCTAGCCCTCCTTCCAAAGGGCAGCACCACGAAGAAAATTAACCTCAAGAAGAACTTCAAAGTTACTCTAGGCAGCTAGACGGAATGAAATGACTCCACGCTGGAAAGGCTGTTGGAAGACAGTACCATTCAATGGTACACTGATGGCTCTATAACCCCGGATGGTATTGGGGCAGGTATTTTGGGACCACGTAGCAAGCTGTCCATATCTACGGGCTGCTTCCCAAGTATCTTCCAGGCAGGAGTTTTTGCCATCTATCAGTGCGCTGAAGTCAACCTCAGCCGCAACTATCGCAACCAAAGCATAGCTATCCTCAGCGATAGTTAAGCGGCTCTAAAAGCGATCTTGTCATACGAGACTAAATCGCTTTTAGTTGAGGAATGCCTAGAAAGGCTAAACCGCCTGTCCTTGTGCAACCGGGTGCACCTAATGTRGGTACCAGGGCACAAGGGAGTAGAAGGTAATGAGAAGGCCGACGAACTGGCCCGCACTGTAGCAGCATCCAAGATGTTGGGGACCAGAGTCATACATAGCGGTAGGACCGCACACTCTTAAGGAGCTGCTCCGCACGGAGGAGAGAGAACGGCACTGGCGGCAGGCAGCAAGCATGCGCCACGACAAGCTGCTCCTGGGGGGATGCAATCTCTCCAGGTTTAAAGAACTAATCCACCTGTACTTTTATCTTTTAAAAGTGCAGCAATAGCACTTTGGGGTTCCGTTGAAATGTCCGATTTTTTACCTATTTCGGTAAATGTACATTTTTTATTACTTATACTATAATGCTAAAAAAAAACTAAAAAAAAAAAAAAATTCTGAAATAATAAATAAAACTCTGGAATTTCTGAAATAAAAGTCAAACACTTATAAAAAAAAAATTCAGCCACTCAATTTATCTCTGATGAGTCAGAAATCACAAATGCTAACTCCAAGTGAAGTAAGTATTTCAATATAATTTCGTATTTAAGTCCCGCTATTTGCAACGGTACATTGCAAATAATATTAATATTTGACACGTGGTAACATGTAGTGCATAGTCTACTTAATGCTTGGGCAGTGGAAAAAATTCAAATTCTTCGCCTAGCAAACTGTCCAAGAATGTTATTCGTAATTTTTTACATATATTTACCCCGTTTCTAATGGGTTGGTACTGTATACTTGTAATGCGATTGGCGACAAAAATATTAAAACGTGAAATCTCCTCCTTGATCTATGACAAAACTGTTGTAGAATCCGACCAGCAAAAGAGCCGACAGTTAAATGCTTGTAAATTGTATGTAGACTGAATTACTTGAGCCAGAAGCGCAGCTGCACAGTCTAGGTTAGGGAGTGTGACCGTTTTTAATTGGGCAACTCTTGATTTCGAACAGAGCAACGTGGAATGTGCGTGTTTACCTAAACGAGATACTACATACAGTGACGGACAAAACCCTACGTGCGACCCCCTTTTCTTAAATTTAAATGTCCCAATACATTTGAAGAAAAAGTAATGATGAAGGTTTGTTTTGAATCTTATAATTGTATATAAAATAATAAAATAATATATATCTCCAATACTAACTTTCAAAGTTATTCACAGAAAATTGAAAAAAAGGCACTGGCAAAAGTGTACGTACGAATT